CGCCTTGAATAGTTTAAAAAACGGACGCACAACCATACAAACTCCACATATCTGGACATAAAATATGGCGCTTGGACTGAGTCCATCCGTGAAAAACAATCTGAGATCATTTTGAGTCATTGAATGAAGTAAAAGCAGCATCGCAGGACGCATTTTGGGTGGTTGCAAAAGATGGCTTACTGCGATGCTTCTAGCTGTAAGAGCGCTAGAAAAAATATATCGTCGTCCGGGGAGATTAGTTTGAAGGTGGTTATACGTCGGTGTTTAAAACTATTCAAGGCAAGGAATTATACGCCAAGTCCTAAACTGTTGGATACGTATATCAGTACTCTGGAAATCCTCCTGATTCATATACAGTAGAGCCTCGATTATCCGACTCAATTGGGGACTGGGGTTGGTCGGATAATTGAAAAGTCGGATAACCGAAAAGTATGAAAAATCCATTATTAGTGTAGTATATTATTATATCCCATGTAATTAGTATATTAGTATATCGCTATTAACCTACTTCGCGTTGAATTTTCCTCCATGTTAATCCTATCAAATTTTTTTAAAAAATAATAATCGTCGCTATTGTATCGTTAAAAATTAGAAAATTAAGCCTCGTTTAAATACTGGCTCCCTTTCATGGTCGAATGAGTGTTGCCAGCTAAAACATGTAAAAATAATATTAAAGTAACCAAGACATAGCCAAATATTGTAGCGCCACATCACTAGCCGACATTTGAAATTTGACGACTAGGACGGTCGGTTAACCGAGGTGTCGGTTAATCGGGGTCGGATAATCGAGGCTCCACTGTATTCGGAATTTTTGATATTCGGCGATCAAATAGGGTATCTTTAACCTGTCAAAATATCCGAACCTTGAGTAAGTAAACAATGATAGGACTTATATTCGAATATATTTAATAAAATGTTCACATAATATTAACGTCCTCTGTGTTGAAACCGTACCTTATATAATATAAAATAATTAAGTTCTTAGCAGAAATGAATTCTGTAGAGTTTAATCTATTGTATGCAATATTAATATGCCTATCTATCTATTGTATGCAATATTAATATACAGTAACTTTATATTATAACAGTACAAATAATAATCTAAGAACTTGCAAAATGACGGAATTACCGCAGTACCGGAGCTTTATCATTTTAATCCTTGAAATAAAAGTTTATTTTGAGATGTATACAGTCGACCCCCCTATAAGATATAGATACGTTCCAATTTATTAGGAATCCGATTTCTTACAAGTCGTTCCAATCACAGCCCGACACGTGTCAAGTTTACGGACTACGGCTGATTGAAAGGTTTTCTTCCATAAAATTAATCGATTCTTAGACTAATTCGACTCAACATTTCCAAAATACATATATTTTTTCGTAGTTTTATAGGAATCGTAATTATAGGGACCGTAATTATAGGGGGGTCGACTGTAATCGATTGCAATAATAAAGCTTGGTGTACTACCAATTTGAAAATTTCACTTCTCAGGACAAGGTTGACGGTCACGAAAATTTACAAGTGCAGTTAGGCTTCATTACTTAAGCGGATTTATGATAATTGTTGCTTTTTAGTTTTAGATCTTCCTCAGACCTCACTAATAAAATAAATACGTTTTCAAGATTATAAAAAATCTATTCAAAAGGAAAAATACGTCCTCATTCAAAGAAGAAAAACAAAATTATCGAAATCGACTGACTAGAACCGGAGATATTCAAAAAATATTTTGCAAAATTGACAATTTTTTGCGCACAACTCGAAACCAAGGCTGAATCAAAAAGACTATATGAGGGAATTTTTTGTTCAGTGTTTTCTATCATCTGGCAAAATATCGCTGAAAAAATTGGAAACACTGTATATGCCTCTAAATACAGTATACTATATTTTCAATATTGATTCTTTCCACTCTGTGGGCATCATAAGAGTGCCTTTCACATAAATTGGGTTTGGCCAGGTGATGAGGGACGGATCACTCCGAAAAATTTCTAGTTCTTAGACAATTGACTGAGAAAGCGAGTGAAAGAAAAGCTAACAGAGATCACTTTTTGGTTTATGATATTTGGCACTACAGTAGAGCGTCGTTTATCCGAATCAATTGGGGACTGGGGTTGTTCGGATAACTTATTTTTCGGATAACCAATTATGTACGAAAAAATATATTAATTTATCCCGTGTTGAAATTTTTCTCCATTGCGTGTCGCTTCGCGTTGAATTTTCGTCGATGTTAAGCCTAACGAAGACTATTGTATAGTTAAAAATTATTTTTTTATTTTGTACAAACAAAATAAATATATTGAAAAATATAAAAACAATAAAAAATTATACTTCAGAAGTTAATTTAGTATCAAAAACGTAAAATATTTGAGTAGCCGAAGACATAGCCAAAGATTACAGCGCCACAGCACTGGCGAAAATTTAAATTTGTCGTCTGGAATTCATTCGGATAACAGACGTTTCGGATAAACGACGCTCTACTGTAGTTTTATTTTGTTCGGATGACATTGATTTGTAAGGATAAGAGAAAAACTAAGTAAAATCCGTTTGTAAAATAGAACTTTGACTCTCACGCAGTATAATATTAATAATTTAATTATAGGCACGAGTAGCAGCTTCGAAATAAAAAGAAAAATGAATTTTGGTGTGTAATTCCTATAGCCTAATGTTACTTTTATTATTTTGGGTTTTGTTTAAAAATTTAAATCATGATCTAAATTTTCGAATGAAAAGATTTTTGAAATATTTATTCAGAATTTTTTTTAGTTGCGTGGAACTGATAAAGCAAAGGTATGAATCACAAAATTTTAATATTTGGTGGCATAACATTATTCACAATTCAATTTAAATTATAGAGCAAAGGCCAAGTAAATATCTACATTTTTAAATACAATCGTTTATAAAGCATAAACTAAGTAAAATTTTACTTTCATACATCAATAATAAATTTAAATAAACAGGTTTTTGCAACTATCAAGCTGGTGACATATAAAAAAAAAAAAAAAATTGAAGCAGCGCAAAAGCAAACACCAAGACAATTGACAGGGGTTATACAAAATCGGATAACGGGGAAAATAAAGTAATAAAGGTAAAAGTAGAATAAATAAATGTATATAGAAGGAAATGGTAAGAGCGTGTGGTAATATGCAGAAATGTAATTAATTCGTAAAACCAAGATGGCGACGACGATAGTGCCTTAATTATTTTTATACTAGATAATATCTACGATTAATATAACGACTTTTACGACAAGAACAATTCGTAACCGAATGGAAAAAAGTACGTATTGGTTATTGATATTTTCTCCCTTTTATCCTGAGAAAATACAGTAATATAAAAGTTGTTAATCTCATCTGTCGCTATGTAAACGAAACCAAATGAGAAGCGAAGCGTTAAAAATGCATTACGAAAATTGCCTCGAAAAATTAATCAAGATATTTTTAATATCAAAAATTGTTCTCTAAATAACTGGACAACTTATTTTAGAACATTTGTAGCCTTTCTCAAGTTTAACTATTTAAATGTACTGTACATTGCAGTATGCTAAACATAATTTAACAGCTTGAGATAACATGCTAACCCAGTATAAGTTAAAAAGTTCTAATCTATGAACCTAAAATAATAAAGGTTTTTTATTTAAACACAGTGCCAGGGGTAAACTGGCGATTGAAATCGGCCAGAAAACGCCCACAAATCCTTTTTTTCAAATGATTAGAACCAAATTAATATGCCTCATTTTCCTTAATTTATTGTAATCTTATTTCGTCCACTTATTAATAGTAGATACGTACTAGTGGACGAAAGAAGATTACGATTAGAACCAAAATTATGTTGTTGCATTTTTCTTACTAATTCAGAAAACGATAGAAAATATAAAAGAAGTTCAATTGCACATTCTAATTATTATTTAATTTCACAAAAATACTGGTCTGCAAGGATTTAGAACGAACATGAAAAAAAAAAGAATGAACAAGAAGATTAGAGGCACTGAACTAAACATTCTTCTAGAAAAAGAAAGTCTTACTCTATTATAATTGTATATTCAATTAGATGGAAACATTTAATATGATAAAGTACAGTACTACAAATTCAATTTTGATTTTGTTCTGGAAAAAAAAAATTTCAATAAAATAATCTCAAACAACGAAGTCTTTGTGACTTTTGTTTTGGATTGCTTTATTAGTCCAGTTAAATTCTCCTTATTTAAAAATGTAAGAGAGTTCTTATTTTATTATTATAAAAAGGTAATAAAACCATTTAAATTTCTTATAATTGCATTTGTAACTAAAAATTTTCATGTTCTTTCTTTAATTCAATGTTGTTAGTCATTTTACAATTATATTATTCAATATTCAACATGTATTCAAAACTGATGGTAAATCAAGGCCAGGTTCCTCCCAGATTATTTGGAAGCTAAAATTTTTTTAAAAATATTTTGTTATTTCTAACCTTGAGCAAAGATTTCTCAGTGCAGGTTAACACAAAGCCGGAGATAACAATGCCATTTCTACTGTGATATTCTGCTTTAATTGAGTTAATGTCCTCGGCTTATTTTCGTACACCCTCTCTTTAAGAAATTCCCATAAGAAATAGTTCGAGGATTGGGTCTGGACTGCGTGGTGCCAGTTATCATCACCTCTTTGCGAAATCAACTTATTGGAGAATAACTCCTTTACGGCTTCAACTGATTCATTTGATGTGTGACAAATGGCGTAATCTTGTTGAAACCATATTCTTGTATTGAAGCCGTCATTGTTCTTGTATTATATTAAGAAAAAATTAAATTTTCTTTTTTGTAAAAACTTTTTAATTTTTATCATAAACTCTTATATTGAATGGTTAATTAAAATAATATTAAAATTGAAGTGATGTAATTTTCAATTAACTTTCGATAACATGGAATAACTATTTTTAAAACATTAAACAGTCATTATTTATATGAAATTCATTATATATTGTAAAAATTAATAGATCTTTTATTAAATATCTAATTACTATAGTTTATTAAATCAATAAGTTTATACAATAAGATAGGCATAATGTTACATGAAATCTAATGAAAAAGTGATAATTCTTTTTGAGAATTTGTTTCAACAACAGTAGCACAACATTAAACATGTTCATTACACATGAATTACAGCTGGAATCATAACTTCTAGTGTTGTGTGATCATACTTAATAGCTGGAGAACTATTAAAAATATTTATATTATATTAAAATATTTATATTAAAAAATTTATACGACAACCTACATTTGGAATTATTTTCAAACCTTTGGTAATTTTATTTGGTAAAATGCTTAAAACTCCAAGAATCTGAAGAAGAATTTCCAGCAACAAACTAAGGCATCCATTCCATAAGATATTCTTTTAATGGTCCTGGAAGCATGAGTTTGTTTATATTTGGTGCCACACTGTAATTCAAGGCACTATATATCTTGACCCTGGCTATCTGTTTCAGAGTACGTGGTTCCGTGTACATCTGACGAAGAATAGTCGCCACAATTTGACGAACGGGTACTAGTGCCATTTGAGTGTTTAAAATTTTCAAACAGGTAAATAATTCTCTATGATTCATTGAATAATAGTATAACCACATTAGACGGGCAAATCGTTGATCTAGATCAACTAAAAGCTCTTCCTTCCTAATTACAAGTTGAACATAATAATATAAAACCTGAAAAGAAAAAGAATTAAGAATGTCAGCTGAATCAAAGCTAACTTTAAAAAAATTTTATGAAAGTTTATAATTAATCATTAAACAGGTAAAAGTATATTATTTCAATATTATTCAATTTTGAAGAGTATAAAGAATAAAATTTTAGCAAACAATTGTTTTTTTTTTTCCTATCTTTGATTTCTAAAAATTATAAAAGTTTAAAAGATTTACTCAACCTATCAGTGGATAATAAATTTATTTTATACAAAAATCAAAAACCAATCTTAAATCTAGTCACAATATTAATAATTATGTTAAATTGTTATTTTTACTCTCTAGAATTAAATACACACACACATATAATCCATAATAAATACATCAATATAAATAAATATTCAGGATTAGGATGCATTCACATTGCCAATGACAACAACTACAGATCCTACCGTGTTTCCCCGAAAATAAGACAGTGTCTTATATTAATTTTTGCTCTAAAAAATGCACTAGGTCTTATTTTCAAGGGGATGTCTTATATTTCCATGAAGACGAATTCACATTTATTGTTGAACAATACGCTAAACAGGTTCGAGAGAACACCTTGCGACACATTCAACTTAACTTTTTTATAGTGTCCACATCGAGCTCGATGACCAATTAGTGCTTACTGAACCGTAGCACTATGCAAATGTGATGTGGCGTGATTCCCAGCCGACCAATTAGCGATCACCAGCGATAACATTATGCAAATCTGTGATTCCCAAGCCATAGTCTTATGCAAATCATGCCGTGTGGCGTAATTGTCTGCTGACCAATCAGTGGCTGTACTTTCAACCATCTGTCGATGACCGTTACGACTAAAAAAAAACTTCGCTAGGTCTTACTTTCAGGGGGAGGTCTTATATTTCGCAATTCAGCAAAATCTGTGCTAGGTCTTATTTTCTGCGGATGTCTTATTTTCGGGGAAACACGGTAAATGATAATAATGGCTTGTCTTTTGTTGTATTCGTTCATTGCCAAAGTATTCACATTGTTCATTAGTTTTCATCTTAGAGTATGCACAATTTACATCATGCTTAGCATTATTCCATGGCTTTCTGTGCTTTTAGACTGGACTCTTCTGTTTTAAAATTGGATATGCATAGTAAAATGTTAAATTCCGCTGTCAATGTTTAAGAGAGATTACTTTTGTTAAGGAAAATATCAAAATATCGATTTTGGATCAGAGCCCTTCAAACTGAGTAAAAAACACACAAGGCAATTTCATGCTTTGATCCAGGAATTACAATTAAAAAACATCAAAAGGATTTTAAAAATTATTTTCATGTTTCCAAATAGTTTTGACCATTTATTAAGCTTCGTAGGGCATCTTTCTTCAACACAAGATTAGCAGCTCCTCCATCTTGTTCAAAAATTGTGGGAAGTTCACGTTAATTGGCCAATACTATTATGACAATGACAAATGTTGAATCTTGGCTATCTTTGTAACAATGAATGACTAAAACAAAAGATCAATGATAATGACTAGTGTCAACATTTTACAGACAATGATGAATAATAAAAACATTGCTTTTTGTTGTTGGTTTAACAGTGTTCACACTACCAATGACAACAAGAAAAAGCAGCAGTCTTAAACATCTTTCCAGCATTACATGAATGTACACATATGGTCTATACTTGTTTCAGCATTAAAACAACCAATACTTAATCTTTTGCACCTAGATAGATATTTAATTCATTTAAAAAATGTCACAATAGTAATAAATTAATAGATTCAGTAAAATAGAATAGATCATTCAACAAAACGGACACATGAATGCAACTACAGCAGGTTTTGTACCAGGATGATGACACACCACCTCATTCCCAGACAGATGTGTCAGTAGCTCAATGTGCAGTTTGGAAACCACTGGCTAAGATAACATGGTACTGTTCTAATACAACCATGTTCCCAAGACTTGACTCCTCTGGATTTTTTCCTTTGAGAACACCTAAAGGCATCAGTGCATAATGCATACCCAGCAGCACTACTTGATGTTAGCAAAATGGAGAAATGCATACAACAGACCTGTTATAAAAGTCACACAGGAATGCTGTGTGTCTTCTATAATGTCACGCTTAATAGTTTACATCTTTGTATTGCTGCCGAAGGCAGTCAGGTTGAACATGTTCTCTAACAAAATCAAGTTCACTTTTTACGTATCAATTTTTGCAATACAGTATTGTCTTTATTCTTTACAGCCAGTGATTATTTGTATGTTATGCTAAATTGTTTTAAATTGATTCCCTTTGATTATTTTAATGCTGAAACAAGCATGCACTACATGTATATACTTGAGCAATGCTGGAAAGGTCTCTTTTGCTTGGAGAGATGTTTAAGTGTGTACCTTGTATATGTATGTCCTGTACATAAATATACAGGGTTTAAAAGTAATACACAATAGGAGATTGTGCTGAGAAATATCAGGAGATTATAGGCAAAGCATCAGGTCAAATGTATAGTGTACTGGTTATATGATGCATCATTTTGGATCTGAAATACTGTCAAATGGAAAATTAACTGTATAAAATTTGTGTGTATGGTTGAATTGCTTTCAACTAATGTAGGCTCAACTGCATAGTTCTGTAACTAACTAGTATGTTGTCAAGATTGACACTTTTTTTAAATACTCAAAATGCAGATAACATTATTATCATGACCATTATCTGTTTTTCACTGTTAGTTTTATTTAAATAAAATTAAACATAATAATAAAAACCAGTAATGTTTCATGTATTAAACAGAACAAACTCAATTCTCACAACATACCTAGTTGTGAGTTACAGAACTATGCAATTGGGCTACATTAGTTAAAAGTGAATTTTGTGCTATTAATTTCTGTTTGACAGTATTGCAGATCCGAAATTATGCATCATATAATCAGTACACTATACGAGGGCTGTTCGGAAAGTTCGCGGCCTTGCCTATATGCGGCGCTGCGATCAATTTAATTTTTGGCGGGAATAATTCAGCCATCTTTGCTAAAGATACGATACCAATTTCCGCTTGATTTGTCAAAAAGTTTTTGCCACGACAGCTTAGCAGATAGTCAGTGTGCACATGCTTTGTCAAAAATGGAGAAGACGGAGACTCGTGCGGTCATAAAATACCTGACAAAAAAAGGGTTGACCCCATCTCAAATCAAAGCTGACATGGATGAAGTTTTAGGAGAGTCTGCTCCTTCGTACACCACTGTGAAAAATGGACAGCCCTTTTTAAATCTGGCAGAGAAAGTGTGGAAGATGACCCTCGCAGCGGACGGCCGTCAACTGCTGTCACTGAAGAAAACATCGACAAAGTTCACGATTTGGTATTAGCAGATCGCCGTTTGAAAACATGTGAGATAGCTGAGACAACAGGCATCTCTGTCGACCGAGTGCACCACATCCTAACCGAAGATTTGGGTATGACGAAGGTCTCAGCAAGATGGGTGCCGCATCTGCTGACCGCCGAGCAAAAACGTGTTCGCACTTTGATGTCAAAGGAGTGTTTGGACTTCTACCAGAAAAACCCATAAGATTTCTTGCGTCGGTTTGTGACTACTGACGAAACGTGGATCCATTACTACACTCCTGAAACAAAAGAACAGTCGAAGCAATGGAAACACCACAGTTCGCCACCACCAAAGAAGGCAAAGACAGTTCCATCAGCGGGTAAAGTGATGGCCTCGGTTTTTTGGGATGCTAAAGGCATCATCTTTATTGACTACCTAGAAAGAGGAAAGACCATTAATGCTGTCTATTACTGTGAACTTTTGGAAAAACTGAAGAAAGAAATCGAAGAAAAGAGGCCACACTTGAAGAAGAAAAAAGTTCTGTTCCACCACGATAATGCACCTGCACATTCCGCCAGAATCACTGAACAAAAGATAAACGAACTTCGCTTCCAATTAGTTCCACATCCACCGTACTCACCTGATTTGGCCCCCAGTGACTTCCACCTTTTTCCAAACCTAAAAAAATTCTTGGCTGGAAAGAGATTCCACTCAAATGACGAAGTCATCTCTGAAGTGAACGAGTATTTTGCATACCTTGACAAATCGACCTATTGTGATGGCATAAAAAAGCTAGAACATCGCTGGAATAAGTGCATTGCTAACAGAGGAGATTACATTGAAAAATAAAAAAAGTTTTAACATTATTTTGTTTGTTTTTCTATGTGAGGCCGCGAACTTTCCGAACAGCCCTCGTACACTTCCCCCATTGCTTTGCCTACAATCTCCTGATTCTTCTCCACACAATTTCCTATGGCATGTTCCTTTTGAAAAACCCTTATACAGGATTTTTCAATTCCAATTGAATTCTTGAATTCCAATAATGACCCTCTTATATAAAGGGTCATTATTGGAATTCAATGAAATTTTTTTCTGCAAAACAACCCTGTAATTCTAGAATATATTTTTGAAAACCTGCCAGATGTGCTTCTGAACATCACTACTAGATGAGGTGTTTGTACTGTACAGTAGTTGCTTGTTACCGTGTAATCAAACAGTCAGTGTATTGCTGGAACTATTTGAAGATGGAAGTGAGAAAGTGGAGCAGTGATTGTACCTCAGTGCATGTGACTGATCTTATTACTGAAGTAAAAACATAATTGCATGAAGAATGTTTTGAAAAACAACCAGGACATCTTGATGGAATTTCAAAGAGGTAGCCCACATTAGTGACTTACATACAGGTTTTCACTACCTTCCTCATCACTGGCAACATACCATGGAAATCTTGGAGACTACTTTGAAGTGTGTTAGAAGTTTGTATTGTGCATTATGGTATTCATTTTTGTTCATTCTGTACACTGTATTTCCTTATTAAACAGTAATTTCCACATACATGTTTTGCTGTTCCTATCATTTCTCCTCTATCCCAGACCAATGTAGTGGTTACAAACTGAAACACATCCAGCTTTCAAATGTATATCCTAGAATTAGTGTTGCAGCATGTTTAGGAAAAAACAAAAATTTTGCTGAAAATTCTATACTGACTCTGTATACATTTATTAATATATTCTAACAGCACAAAACCTTTCTCACTAATTTCTAGCCTTATTAACTGGAGTACAAACGTTTTCGGCCTTCTTAATAGGCCTTCCTCGGGTACACTGCGGAGCGTCGGTTAGAAGAAGTTTAAATGCTGCCAATGTTTACCCAGGTGTCGTCTTACCCGTGACGTCTTCGTTGATGATAGGTATACGATACCGAGGGAGAAAAACTACATACTTTTGGTAAAGAAGGGAGGTGTGCAGATAGGATACTTGCTAAAGTTGGGGAAAAA